GAACAGAGGCATGAACAGAAATCATATGTAGCAAGTATCAGGCTGGAGGACAGAGGTATGCTAGGGAGACAGATCTGGGGTGATCCCCCATGGAGATTTGCATAGTAACAGAGTGGGCAGTGGTCATCTGGAAGAACCAGGAATGGGGTGAGAATCATACAACATGGAAACAGACCCTTTGGTTTGGAAAGGCAACGACTGATTAGGGATAGTCAACACAGCTTTGTGCATGGGAAATCGTGTCTCACTAACTTGATTGAGTTTTTTGAAGAAATGACAAAGAGGATTGATGAGGGCAGAGCAGTGGAAATTATCTATATGTACTTCAGTAAGGCGTTCGACAAGGTTCCTCATGGTAGACTGGTTAGCAAGGTTAGATTACATGGAATACAGGGAAAACTAGCTATTTGGATATAGAACTGACTCAAAAATAGAAGTGGTGGTGGTGGAGGGTTGCTTTCCAGACTGGAGACCTGTGACTAGCAGTGTGCCACAAGCATCAGTGCTGGGTCCACTGCTTATTGTCATTTATATAAATGATTTGGATGTGAACATAGGAGGTATGGTTAGTAAGTTTGCAGATGACAAAATTGGAGGTGTAGAGAACAGGAAAGAAGGTTACCTCAGAGTACAACGGATCTTATTAGAGAGGCTCATGGGTCGAGACGTGGCAGATGGAGTTTAATTTAGAAAAATGTGAGGTGCTGCATTTGGAAAGGCAAATCATGGCAGGTCTTAAACACTTAAAGGTAAGGTCCTGGGGAGTGCTGAACAATGAGACCTTGGAGTACAGGTTCATAGTTCCTTAAAAGTGGAGTCGCAGGTAGATAGGATAGTGAAGAATGCATTTGGCATGCTTGCCTTTATTGGTCAGTGCACTGAATACAGGAATTGCCTGCATTTGGCCCATATCCCTCTAAACCCTTTCTATTCATGTACCTCTCTAAATGTCTCTTAAATGATGCAACTGTACCTGCATCATGAACTTGCTCTGGCAGTTCTTTCCACATATGAACTACCCTCTGTGTGAAGAAGTGGGCCTTCAGATCCCTTTTAAATCTTTCTCCTCTCATCTTAAAAATATGCCTCTAGGTTTGAACTTCCCTACTTTAGGCAAAATAGCTTTGCTAGTCATCTTCTCTATGCCCGTCATGATTTTAATAAGGATGCTGGCCTCATTTCCTGTCATAACACAAAAACAGAAGTTGGTGGAAAAGCTCAGCAGGTCTGTGAAGAAAAAATCAGAGTTAATGTTTTGGGTCCGGTGACCCTTCCTCATTTTCCTGTGTTTTCCTTGTAACCCTTGATTCCCCAACTGATCAAGAATCCACCTATCTATCTCAGCATTAAATATACCCCAGGACTCTGCCCCTACAGCTCTAGGTGACAAGAACAGGGCATTCATAATGGAGAGGCAATTGTCTCATGGAATTATAGCTAAACTTTTAACCCAGATAAGATCATATTCTGGAGTCCCGGCTTTCAATCCTACCAAGGTGGAATTTGAATTCATGTGGAAAATCTGGAATTAAAAGTTGAATAGTGGCCATGAAACTGTCATCGATTGTTGGAAAATCCCATTTAGGACCATAGGAACAGGAGTAGGCCCTTCAGCCCTTTGAACATGTTCCACCATTCAATGAGATCATAGTTGATTTGTGATCTAAATCCATATTCCTACCTTTGGCCCATATCTCTTCATATCTTTGCTCAACAAATATTTATCTACCTCAGATTTAAAATTAATAACTGATCCAGCATATGTTGCCATTTGTGGAAAAGAGTCCCCAGACTGCTACCATATTTTTTGTATAAGAAGTTCTTACAGTCTCAGAAGAAAGGGGCATCAATTTGAGACTAAGGTGAGGAGGAATTTCTTGTCTCAGAGGGTTGTGAGTCTTTGGAACTCCCTAAATAGTGAGCAAGGGAGTGGAAAACATGGACCTCGGCTACCCAGGCAATGGATCTGAAATTGCGTTCTGGAGTTGACAAGCAGGATATACAGTGTCCACTTACAGATATCAAGAACAAAGAGCTCAGTAACAGAGATCTGTATTGGATGACGCATTCAGTCAAACAGGCTTAAGGGGCTGAATGGCAAAACCTGCTCCTATTTTGACTGTTTGTATGAAATAAGGCACGGAAAGAGATGTTGATTGGCCAGTAATAGAGATCAGGAGTTGTCAATAATAGAGATTTGTGTTGGACAATACTGGAGGAGCAAATTACTGCAGATGCTGGAAGCTGTAATGAAAATAATTGCTGCAAATCACAGCAGATCAGGCAGCATCCAGGGAGAGACAGCAAGCTAACGTTTCAAGTATAGATGACTCTTCATCAGATGAAGACTCTGATGAAGAGTCATCTAGGCACGGAGCTTCAGCTTGCTCTCTCTCTCCACAGATGCTGCCTGATCCACTGTGATTTCCAGCAATTTTTTTTTATTTTCAGGACAATACTGGAGGCTTGGATCAACTACTAGAAAAGATCAAGATTGGACAAGTAATGGTGCTCTGTCCAGCTACTCAAGCATTGACAAATCAAAAAAAAGTGGGGAAAGGTAATGGATCACTGCAACTGGAGGATGGGGACATCAACCATCCTATGGAGCAGGAGGCAGGAGCAGAGTGAAAACTGGGATTGGGATGTAGACAGAATCATAAATAGAGATGGAACCAGAATGAGCAGTCCCTGTTTAATGACAATGTTAACAGTTGAGACTAATTAGGTCCCATTCACCAGATTCTGCTTCTTCGGAACAATAAGGGACCAGTTCCATCTTCGACAGCTGTTAAAGCTACAAGCAGACAGCTGTAGTCACCATTAATTGATACACAAAGACAACTTTCAATTGGGCAGATTCCAGGGTTCAGAGAGATTATGATTGGACCATAAAGTGCCCTCCTACATCGATTAGTAGATAGTCAGCCAGAATCAGTGGTTTGAGAGTGATCAACAACAGATCTGGAGTGAAGGGCCACAAAGATTTGGAGATACTGAGGGCAGAGATCCAGGATGATCAGGAACAGACCTGAGAGGGTAGGTACAGAGATCCCGAGAGTTTGGAAACAGATGGTATGGCCAGGAACAAAGAGGTTGAGTCATCAGGATCAGAGATCGGGACTGAACAGAAGTACAGATCTGGAATGGTCAGGAATAGAGATCATGAATGTTTTGGGACAGAGGACCAAGAGATGGAAAACATAGATCTGGAGTGAATAGGAACAGGGGTCTAGAATGAAACAAAGTGCTGGAGAAGCTCAGCAGGTTTGGCAATGACCGTGGAGAAAAAGACAGAGTTAATGTTTCAAATCTTGTATGACTCTTCTCCTCTACAAGGTATCCAGATCTATGGTGGCATCTTCAGACAGAGATCGAGAGTGGTGAGAAGCAAAATATGGAGTAGTCAGAGTGTAGAGGATCACAGATCTGGAGTGGTGAAGAGCACAGATCTGAAGCGGTCAACAGCAGAGTTCTGGAGCACAGATCCAGAGTGAGCAGGAGCATAGATCTGCAGCGAAGGGTAACATGGATGTGAAACAATCAGCAACAGAGGTCTGGGGTGATCAGGAATAAAATCTGGTGGCTCACAAGCAGAAATTTGGAGTGATCTCAAGCAGAGATTTGGAGAGATTAGGAGCAGTAATCTGGAATCAGACTGATGAAGTTTTGTGCTGTTTTAATCTAGGTTTATAGTCACTGCCTCAGATGCCCTTTGAAGCCCCCAGCAAACCATGCAACCTATGACCTGGGAACAGCTGGAATCACATCAGGGTCTGTTTCAGAGGAACAACAGGACAACTGGTCCCAAGTGGCCGCCTTCTGTGCCAAAATGCTGGTGTGATTCTGTTACAGGCCAGCACCTGGAGTTCAGGCAAGACCTGGCAGGTGCTTACCAGCAGTGGAGCGCTCCCCACTTCAGCACATGGAGTGCAGCAAAGATGTTAATGGTTGGGGAGGAGCGCTCACTGGGGCCAAGACACAAAACACCTCCGCGTGACTGAAGAGATCTCTTCCCAAGGCTGCAAAGGGCAGTTAGACACACTGAATTAGAGTCCAGAGCCACCGACGTGTCAAATCCTCACACCATCTAATGTCTGGGTTACAGATGGACATGTATCATGGAATCATAGAATCCCTACAGTGTGGAAGCAGACCATTCGGCCCACCAAGTCCATGCCAACCCTCAGAAGAGCATACACAGACCTACCCTGCATTTCCCATGGCAAATCCACCTAACCTGCACATCTTTGGACCATGGGAGGTAACTGGAACACCTGGAGGAAACCCATGCAGAGACAGGGAGAATGTGCAAACCACACAGTCGTCAGAGGGTGAAATTGAATCCAGGTCCCTGGCAATTTGAGGCAGCAGTGCTAACCACTGTGCAGTTTCAGAGCTTAGTCACAGACGATGACGATCAGGAGTCATAGGAGGAGAAGGCATTAGGAATGGTCGAAACCCACTGTGAGTTCTAGTCACTTAATAACCAGTACTTTTCATCAATACACCAGAAGGTGAGACACACATGCGTACACACATACACACTCACACCCAAATGCACACTCAAAACAAAACAAAAGGACAAACAATGATTATATAACCACTATCACCAAAAACAGTTCATCAAACAGGTCATGGGAGCAAGACGGCAGACCAGGTTCAACCATCAATCGATTTAATTTCTGCATTTCGTTCTTACAAAATTTTAAAAGGAACAATTTTCTTGCAAAATGCCGCTCTCAAAAGCTTACAGAACATGAAAACAACCGTATTTTTATATATATATATATATATATACACAAAAAAAAACTACTGAAAAGAACAAAAAAGCACATTGAAAGAGAGTGCAAAAAGTTTCGAAGATGTTAAAAAAAAAGGAAGAAGCTTTGGAAATAAAAGATTTTATTTTGTCTTTTTCTAAAAAAAAGAAAAAATTCGAAAGAGGGTCGTGGGGTTGGGGTGGGAGGGAATTGTTAACATGCATTGGAAAAAAATACCTTCATCTTCAAGACTGCCAAATGCGTCGTTATCATCTGATTTTTTTGTGAGTGGACCTAGGACCAGAAAAAAACGGGAGGAGAGAAAAAGAGATTTCAAAAAACAACATTTTGTGCTTTTTTTCTCAATCATTTGTTCTTTTTTTAAAAAAAAGATACAGTCAAGAATTGATTGCACAAAAAACCTAAGAAGATGATTCAATTTGTTCTCTACATAAGAAAAAAAAGACAAGCATCAAAACACACAAGGCAAGACACTTCTGTTTTAAAGTCAATTTGAGCAAGAGAGAGAATAAAAAAAGTTAGACAATTCAAAAAGAACAAAGTTCACATCCCACCCCTCCCCCCACTCCCCGCAAACACAAAAAAAGAGAAAACTGGATTGACAAGAAGGTCAACCGACTTCATATGCATTTTCTCAAGAATTCAGTCACATCAAGATTTTTCTTCTCACAAATATGAAATCTTGGAATTTTTGAAATCTTGGATTTTTTTCCCTTGAACCCACTCAAAAATATTTCAAAAGTCAATGTTTGTCATTCTGGCTCTTAATAATGGTTTGGTTTCTGTTGGCTCTTGGCCTCTCTTCCCAGGGGCTGTCGAAGTGTTTTGGATCCATGTTAGAGGTGCACATTACCGATAAACATTTGAAAGAAAAGCTTTTTTCATAAAAGATCAAAACTCAAAAAAAGAAGAAAACTCCTCACTGACCCTGGGCAGCCATTTGCGTCATAGGGTCAATGCTGCTACTCAGTGGCTTGTAGATTAAGGCTTCAGGGCCTGCTCGCCTCAATACATTGCCACAGTCACTTGACAAGTATCCCATTCTTGTGGGCACCAATAATATGATAAAAGATCAAAGAGGTAGGGGGGTCAGGGCATGGGATTGGGGTTCCAAATAAAACTTATCATCTTCAAATAATGCAACAGAAAAGGAAACTGAGCAATTGTGAATAAAGCGTAGATAAGCCAAGCCCCATCTCCGTGTGCCTGCTTTAACGGACAGCCTCAGACATTCATCGCCAGGACTACCCTGAGCAAAGACACCCTCTGAGGTACTCAGTGGAGCCTGAGCTTGTTGGAAGAGATTGGGATCCTACTCAGGGCCAGAGGACAAAGAGAAATCTCTCCTGCTCTAATTCTAGGTAGACCCTGGCCTGACTTCAAAGGACTTTGATAACAAACCAGCTAAAGAATTCATTTTTTAACTTCAGAATATATGGTGATCAGGGCAAAGGATGAAGAAACTATTCTACCAGGACACTAATATGTAACTGACCAATTGCCAATTTGTAGGGAGGCCAACTGATTACCAATTTTGACTGAGGCTTCAAAGCTGGCTAGACTGATGTCAAGGGTCATTTATCTATTATGAGAATGCTTTATCCCACTTATTTAGTTATCAACATTTGGTGAACTCCTGACTGGAATATTGTAAAGCTGGACAATACTTCAAGTATCTACTGATGATGCACTGTTTCTGTTTGATTTGGTGTTGAGTTTAAGTAACACAAGTGAGTCTCTTATCTCAGTAAGCCAGAGAATCCACTGCTTCATTGTCGAACTTATGAGATGCATGGTTTGTCCTCATAGATATGTAAATTAGTGTTGAGAACACTGTGGTTGATGTTGTGTGTATGGACTTTTGCAACAAATACTACATGAAGGTCATTTTAGAAAAGTTAAGGCCAGCGGAATTAGAAGAATGGTTGATAGCATGAAAATGGGATTTACGAGGGGGACAGGAAGCAGGAGAAACAGCTATTTTTGAGACTAGAAGTGCAGAGTGACACATTTAAGACAGAAAAATTAACATAAACATGTACAAGGGTGTGGGTGGCACTAGGGTGTGGGTTGGGGAAGGGGTGGTGTGGATACAGGTATATTCACACAAATCCATGAAGATGGTCAATCGACAAAAAAGCCAATAAAGCCACTGGCTTCATAAAGCATGACATTGAGTCCAAAAGCAAGGGGATTATGCCAAACCTGTTATAAACCATTGATTTGGCCTTGGCATCCAACCTGTTTGCGGAAAGGGGAGTTCTTCCTGAACCTTTACCCATCCTGACTCCATTTTGGTTTGCGACCCACAGTTTGGAAACCCTGGTCTAAAGTGAAATAACTCCACAGTGGCCAGTATCCCATTATCAAGTCACCCTTTATTTACATGCGGAGAATCCTTGACACTGATCCAGCTCCCTCAAAGCCAGCTCTCAGAGTGAACAGGGTCTCTGACAGTTCTGTTCTTATCTGTCAGCCATGGCTCCCTGATTGAACCAGATTAACAGCCCCAATCAGGAAACTCATATTCTATGAGCTCCACCTGGCTGACCTCAGTACACTCACTACATCCCCCCACTCTGAGTCCGAGGGCATAGGTCGGTTCTTTATTTTGTAGCTCATCCTGGAGCGTTTTATCACCGGGTCAGGTTCCACCAACTCTGCCTTGGATACAGGCAGCATGTAATGCACAGTAGCTCACCTTTTGTACCCAGAACGTCTCACAAAAAAAATTCATTCTCTCCTTCAGGTGGCAAAGGTGTTGAAGCAGCGATATCTGCCATGTCCATCTCAGATTCCGAGGTATCTTCAATGTTTGATGGAAAGGGAGAACCCATGGGTTCCAGAACAGTCGGAAAGGTTGTCAAGGAGCCGGGCACGTTTTGCTCCCACACCATTTGCGAGTTTGCAGCTTTCATATGATCCTTGTGCTTGCTCAGGATAATTGAACCTACCTGAACCTTATACACCCCGGACCTAACCTCGCGTTGACCGTGCCTCTTATCGATACAGGGCCATTGCCACAGTTCCTACACCAAACTTCATCCTCTGAAGTAAACTCTCTTGCTTAGGGGAGTCTTGAGTTCCTGGTGTTCCTGATGCCAGTTAACACCCCCACAACCACCATCCACCCCCCTCCACCCACCGTCCCAAAACAACCAGGAAGATCAGATTTAACCTGCTGCAGAGTCTTCTCCCCATCAGTGCCCCTGCTGGAGTTATCCCTACTGTTGCACGAGGGGTGGTCCTATAATCAAATAGGAGCTGGGACAGCTTGGCACTGAGTGAAGCTATAGGCTGTTTCTTTAAGCCTGTCTTCAAAGTTTGGACTGTTCTTTCTGCCAGACCATTGGATGATGGATAATATGGAACTGTCCTTATATGTGGAATACCATTCAACTTTAAGAAACACACAAAATCTCTGCTGATAAATGAGGGTCCATTATCTGTGACCAACACTTCTGAGAGCCCTTGTATTACAAAAGACATGTGCAGTTTTCCTATCATCCTCCCTGTGTTTGACAAATGAACTCTGTGCATGTTCAGCCATTTTCAGTGGGCATCCACAGTGACAAAGAACATTGAGCACATGAAAGGACCGCAAAGTCAATATGTAACTGAATTCAGGGTTTATCCAGCAATTCACAGGAGTATGGGGGAGCTGCTGGCAGTAATTTTTGTCCTTGCTTGTACTCTGGGCACTGCGCACCAACATGGCTATGTCTGCATCCAATCCTGGCTGCCAGACATAACTTCTTACCAACATCTTCATTTTGGAAACCCCTGGATGACCCTGGTATAGTTCAGCGAGTATCTGGTGGCAACTTTTGTTTGGGACAATCACTCTTGCTCTCCTTAATAATATGCCATTCTCTACTCTGATCTGGTCTCTCCAGGTCCAAAAACGTTTCAATTTTAGTTACGATGGCCCTTTGGATTTCTCCATCACCACCGGTTGTTTCAGTTTTGCCAGGACTGGATCTTTCTGCATCCAAAGTCTGATATTGTCAGATATGACTGGAAGCGTGTCCAGAAAATTTAAAAACATTATGGTCTCTTGCAGTGGCAGTACCACCACAGGTGTTTCTACCAGCAGGAGGCAGCTTAATGCATCGGCATTTGCTACTTGGCCTCCCAGATGGTGTTCCAACTTGTAATTATACACACTTAGTATTACAGCCCACCACTGGTACTGCCTGAAACTAAAGGTGGAACTGCTTTGTCCTCGTTAAGTAGACCTAGCATGGGTTTGTGGTCTGTTATTATTACAAATTTATGTTCATAAAGGTATTGCTGGAACTTCCTGACTCCAAATATGACCACTAAACCTTCCTTCTCTATCTGGACGTATATATGCTCTGCATTAGCCAAAGTCCTGGATGCAAATGCTGTTAGGCTTTCCTCTCCAATGGGCCACCAATGAACTAATATTACCCTGATGCCATACAAGGAGGCACTGCATGTCAATAGCAGATCTCATCTGGGAACACAGTGGGCCAACACCTTAGAGGATGACAGTTGTTTCTTCACTTCCGTGAAAGCTATCACTTGGCTACATAATCATTTCTAAGGCTGACCCCATCAGCCCAAGGGAAGACCTAAGCTCTAGTACAGATGTGGGAGCCAGGGTACCTTTGATCGCCCTCACTTTATCTTCCAATGGGTGTAACCCAGTCTTGTCAACTCTGCAGCCCAAGTAGGTCCCTTGGGGTGCCTGGAACACATAGGTTTCCCTTCTAAGCCATATGCCTGCCTGGGAGAAATGTCTGAGGACTATGCCCAAGTTCTCGAAGTTCTCCTTTTTGATCTTCCCTGTTATTAACGTCATCTAGATAAATGGCAAATTGGGGTAGACCTTGTAAAATGTTCTCTATCAACTGCTGAAAAATGGTACAGGCTGACAACACCCCAAGTGGTAGTCTCGTATATTGGTACAAATCATTATGGGTATTAATTGTAGCATGCTCCTTGAAATCCTCATCTAACTCCAATTGCAAGTATGTATGGCTCATGTCCAGCTTCCCTGCCAGTTTTGCATATAAATCCTCTTTGTGATACATTGGGTATTTATCCAGCTGAAAAAGCAGATTACCATTGGTTTAAGATAGACACAAATGCGAACCACCCATTGGGCTTCACAATTTATATGACTGGTGCTTCCCATTCTGCAAACTGGATTGGTTGATGATTCCTTCACTTTCCAACCTTCTGATTTCTGCCTCTACTTTTGCACATAAGGCAAATGACACTGGCAGGCTTTGCAGAATCGTGGA